GGCCAAGTGGAGTTCGGGTACTGCTTGGTTTCAGTCGGCGCACGTACACGAGCCCCCGAACTAGGCTAGCGTGCTCGTAATGCCCAAGGATTTCAGCAACAGCTTGGTCTCAACTCTTTTTCTCTAATTTTGCGACCTCCTCTTCCACTCGTGCCGGAGCGCTTGCTGTTTTTAAATTCGAAAGAAGGACAGCTTTGATTCTCGCCTTGCTGAATTGTGGGCTATGTGACCACATCCTTCTTCAGAGACGTACTCGCCGCTTCCCCCTCCGCATACCCATGAATCGGTCATTCCAGCGGCGATGCTTGCCTCTATGCTCCTCGTCACTTACGAATCGCCGGAGGCCCATCTACCGAGTATGTGAGCGCAACAAACGACTGGCCTACCGCAGCTGGCTTTGACCAGCATTACATGAACCTGGCTTTTAGATGCGTAAATCGCCCAGCAATCGATTGAAGTGTCTGCTCCGCATCACTCTGTACTTCGCTTGCGTGACGCCCGGCGCTCTTGGAGCCACGACGTCTTTCTCCCTTTCCGGTCAGGAGAGGCGGTTCTGCCAAAGTAGCGTGCTACAGTACTCGAGTGGGCTCTAGCCAGCTTGCGAGTGACCGGCGGCGGCAATCAGCTCCAGACTAGACAGCGAGAGTGAAAAAGTCGCATTTATGAATGCTCAGGTTGACTCGACACCTGTCCAGTCCCTTCGCGCTGTGCGCACTGCGAGTGGCCGTTTGACGGTCCTGGGGTACTGTGCTCTCTCTCCATTCGGGTCGAGAGAGATGGGAAGGTCCATCTCAGCACGTGGGGTAGTGGATACCCAGCTGTACTGACGGTTTTGGGGCTTGCTGGCGGATTCGACTCCGAACTCGGGCAGGCGAGTTGAGCGAAGAGCGAATTTCCGCCATCCTGATCGACCCTGACTCATGCTGGCGAGTCGACCGTTAGGCGAACCTGGACTTGAGTACAGTCGACGTCTACGCGGTTTAGGTCCGTGCTAGAGAACTGGGCGTGCGAACTCTTCTCGTAGGCAAATTTCCTGTAGACCCATAGAGGTATTTTTTTCCGTCTACAGGACGATCGCGGGGAGAGAGAGATTTGGGGAGAGACAGATCTGGTTTTTTGATCACGAGATCCGTTTTCTGATTTTTGGTCACGAGATCTGGTTTCTGATTTGAGATCACGGTGAATTTTTTCAAAAAAAACCCTGCAGCGCACAAACTACGTGAGCTGCCAGCGCACCCACAGTTTTCTCATATATATTATATATATATATATATATCATATCATATCATACTCTTTTTAAAAGTATGAGTTTGGGAAAATCTTTCGGTAGACAAAAATACTATTGAAATTCAAATACTAATTCATTAAGTAAGAGTAAGTTGATAAATTGATGAATTCTTATTGGGTATACATAGTATGAAGATAATGATATAGTTTAAATTAAAATGTAAACCTGAATGAAATTATTAAATGCCAAATATTTATAAGATGGAGGACATATATGCACAAACCAAACAATTTAACGAGGCAAAATAATGTCCACTCTAAAGATCGAACCCAGGAGCAGTGCAGACCTACAAAAGTACATAATGTAGACAGAGTATCTGCAAAATCACTAAACAAATTAAAGAGACAAAATCATTCTAAAAAACAAAGAACGAAAATTAAAACAAACGGCTGCGATCTGAGGACACAATGTGACGGTCTCTCACCGACTAAAATTCAAGTAGTTCACG